CCCCAAAACCCCAAAACCCCTTTCGTTTTAAAAGTACAAGCATAGACATTTATGTTAATATCAGATTTTAAAATAAAACAACTAATCTTAGCTAAATAGAAATCACAAAATTATTACTTCTCTATAATCATAAATAGTTAACTTTAAAAATAATTTTTATAATCCAAGCAGATTTATTCATCGTAATCTCCTATAAATCAAATCATAGGTCGTAGATTCTCTCCAAAGTTTAGGCTTGAGGCTGCTACTAAGTTCTAAAAGCAATCTATTGAATGGAATCAATTAGTTCTTTGAAGCCTTCATCATTTAAGCTTTAAAATCCCTCACTTTTAATCACATCTACAATTTTTTCAGAAATTTAATCTTTCTCCCCCGCATATTTCAATATTCCTTCTAGAACCTAATAGTTTGATTTCATTGCTTTAGTGAGAAGCCTCATTTGTTGCTCTTATTCATTTTGATAAATCTCAAATAATAGATTAGTCATCTCTCCATTTTATCTCAACTTTACAAGAATATTCTTTCTTTCTTTCTAATATTTTGGAAAATAGTATTCAGTTGCTGAAACTCCCTCAATTTTGTCATCTTTAAATGTAGTTAAATGGAGCTTATCAAATCTATTAAGAAAGGACTCAGATTTTTTTATGAAGTCTATGCTTGAACACTTTTCTACAATAATTTAATCGAATTCCAAGCACATTTTAATGCTTGAAAAAATTTCATGATTAGCCAAGCGCTTTACTAGTAGAGCTTAGGGTAATGAAGTATGCAAAGTCCTCTTGAAAAAATCATCTTTATTAATTTATTTAATCTCAAGATACATATTAAAGAGTTATGTCATATGGAGTTCATTTGCCATACTAGAGTCATCATAAATTTGAAAAATGATTATCTTGGATTTCCATATTGAACTTAGATTTTCCTCTTTTTTGTTAAACATTATACTTTAAGTGATGGTATTCCTTGATGTGTAGAGTTTTTGGTAATTATTTATCAAAGGGTAGAATTAATTTAGGAAATCTAATGCTGAGATTTGCAATCCTAAATTCTATTCTAATTGGTGAAAAGTGTTTGATCCTTTAACTGATTTTCTAAGGTAATGAACTGCAATTCTAGCACATTCTTTCCATAATTTTTCAGTTACAATCTTTACATTACAAGATGGCACGCTAATATTTGTTTTCTTCAATAAATCTTATAACTCTTATCTTTATTTGTCTTTATTTAACTGTACCTCAGATTATTGCATGAATAAGGCATTCTAAGATTGAGCTAATTGTCCAGGTTTAATCACTTAGCTTCTTGAAAGACCAACAACCTGATAAATGAATTTCTTTAGTTTTTATTGATCATCTATTTTGAGAAAGCTTTACTGATTGATTTAAGATAACCCTTAACTAAAATATACATAGCTACTGGGAGATTTACAGCGAATATAAATTTATAGTTTCTCAACTATTGACATCTTATAACAGTTAATCATCTAGTGCTTCAACATTCATCTTAGGAATAATCTTAAAGACACAAGGAATATAATTATTATGAAATAGTGTAGCTCTCAAATCATATCCATATTCCAAGCAAATCTTTTTGTAATATTCATCGATTCCATCATCAACCTTTAAGTCATCTAACTTCTTAAGTTAGTTATTTTAATCAATATATAGTTTCAATTCTTTGATTTTGGCCTTAAAATTTAAGTCTTTATAATTTTCAATATAGAGATAGATCTTTTCAAGAAACATTTTGACATCATCTAAAGCTGCTATACAAAAATGATTTCTGATATCTTCAACGCTTTTCTGCTAGTTTATTTGATCTAAAACATTAATTCTAGAAGTTAATTTTACCAAGTATGTGAGTGAGAACACATTTTTGAGTATTATTGAGATGAGGTTTCCAATCTTGATCATCAAACACCTGGATCCAATTTTGAATATAAAGAAAATCCCTCTTTATTAATTCCCTCTGATTATCATTTATCATATCTAAGATATTCCATAGATCAAGGACTTATTATTAATTAAAACTCTTGAGTTCATTAACTTCAATGTCGGGGATCATAATTGCCTTTAGCGGAGCCAACCCGTCTTTGCACTCTATTATTGCAGACTCAACGAATTTTGAGATAATAGGAGTAATCAGCAAGTTCTTAAGGAACATATTTTAATTTCCGACTAGATGATTTGAAGAAAGCTTTAAATGATGGACACTTGAAAATCCATAATTTATTACAAAGTCCAAGAAGTTCTAAAATAATTGAGACAGTTTTTGCATTACAAGAGTGTTGAGTTAAGCCTTAAAACCAAGGCTTTCATCAAGACAGATGCCTGATCTCTTTTCATTGGGATAGAAAAGATGAGAGTTGAACACTACTGAGAATTTAAGTGATTGAGAGCCGATCAAAGGATAGTCAACAAAGAAGTTAGGAATGCAAGAATCTTTTTCAACAATTTCATACATTCCATCTTCTTTTTATTAAACAAAGCAAGCTAATTAAGAGTACTTATTGAATGCAAGAATCATTTATTTCTCTTCATCATTGATGAAATATTTGAGGATCTAGATGTCTCCTAATGTAATTACAGGATTCCTATCTATTCTGAAAGTATATTGCTGCTTCTACTATTCAATTCTATCAAATATCTCAATAGTCTCAATTTTCTTGCTGAAGGCAATCACATAAGGGGTTGATGCTATCAGGTTCTTTAGACCTTCTTAAGCATTTCTGACACCATGCTCAGAAAGATAATAAGTGAAGCAGGTATCAAAGTCAAGTCCAGATTCATAGTCTTCTAGGAATGGCCATTTTTCATGATTATCAAGGTTTTTGAAAATTTCTGAGGATTTCTAATTGTTACTTAGCATTTTTTAGACATCTTTTGTGTCTCTGTTTAGCACAAGCTAGAATTTCTTATAAAGACACTAATCTGTGTCCGTATGCTGAAAGACACCATCAACTGAAACTTTTTTAGATAGTAAATATGTAGTTAGAAAGCCAGTACCAAATCGGCCAGTTGTTTCTGGAATGACCATTTCATCAAGATTCAAGTTTTAAGCTTAATTATCTGACTGCTGCAGAGATGTACTGTTAATGCTGTTATTTGCGTTAACAAAAGAATCAAAGTCATCATCAGGTTGAGGAGTTTCACTATAATACTGAGGTCTATCTTTATCTGAGCCCTTTTCAACTAGATTCATAATGTCTTTGAGACTGAAGGGCCTTCCATTGTGCAAGAATCTCAATTTATCTTCTTCCAAGATTATTCTAATTTTCACTGGTTTTGAAGCATCATAGGCATCTTGAGCATTTTGGATAAGCTCCCAACCCCATCTCTTCACTGCATCTGGCTCGGTTTCCAGCTAGTCAATGCTATCAAGAATACTCTTAGCAATCTGAATGTTTCTCTCTTGAATTCTCTTTTGCTCATAGAGCTAACCAAATTGCACTGAAGAATTTGTTGCTTACATTCTAACTTTTAAATTTAATAATTATAATATCTTTAATAAAATTCTCCTATTAAGTACTCATCTAACAAATTATGAGTAATGGGGTTTTGGGGTTTTGGGG